CACCACAATCTGCGCAAACCAAGTTACCGGTGACGTTGCGCAACGACTGAATCGCGCTACGATCACCGTGAGAGCCGGGGGTTGGATTCTTGTTGCTCTGGTTGCCTTGAAGACATGAAAGGATTTGCTGTTCGATGGCATGCACCCACTGATCCCTCTCCTGCAAAAAATAAATCCTAATTATAAAAAAGCTATAACTGAAAAAACAACAACAGCTTTAGCACAATCAATAGCTCACCGCCTTCTGCCTGCTAACTAGCCGAAGTATGCGACATCAAACATTTCTGTTGTTGCTCTATACCTCTTTCTGGCGTCACGTTCCTTTAACTTAAAAACGAGTAATACGGGTATCTACGCTGTGATATTACGTGCAATTCCCGTAAAATGAGCTAAGGCAATTGTGACAATCCCGCTAACTTGATAACCATAACCATCATCATCAACACCTTTCCATCCACCGCTGGACAAAGGCCTCTCCAACACTTTGCAATATACTTGTTTTCTGCCACTTTTATTTATTTTCAGGTTCAATTAGCTTCTTCAGCTGATCTTGCCATCGATATGCAGGTCTGGTCGTTTATTCTCCATTGGAAATCAATCTAATGACTCTGGTATAGCGAAGGTCAGTTCTTCTTGCAACGCGTCTTGCTCACTCCACTTCAGCTTCTTCACTCAGGCAGTGAACTTGCAGACTCCTGTTGGTGCCTTTATCCATTCGTCTATTTTTCCCTTGTTATTCCCAACACACACCGTTCCATGCAACGTTGCGTTCACTGCAGTCTATGAATAGCTTTCAGGTTTAGTATCAAAGTTCTACACCAGCAGGTTAGCATCGGGAGCGCACACTGATAGAAGACATTCCTTTTCAAGCACAAGGGCAGTTTCCATGACTGGAACATTTTCAATATCCTAAATATGCTGCATGCCATTCTTATTCTTCTACTGATTTAAAATATTCCGTTCTCCTTTGCAGGCGAGATGCCCCGGAGAGACATGGTTTTGAACGCCTTCAGTCACACGCCCGTTGACTTCACGAGGTCACGGGGTCAGAGATTTGTTAAACATGATCTGAGCACCCGACTAAAATGTTCTTCTTCAATCCTACTCTCATTTTGGCGACCTTCAGCGCTTGGATTCTGCCTTGGAGTATATCGAGAGATCCTCAGAGAGTCACAATGCGGTCCTAAACCGCGGATGGCTTAAGCACTATCAGTTTATCTTTGGCTCTCGATTTTCCCGATGGAGTATCTTGAAAATCTCATCCAGGGCTGCAGTGAACAACTTCGGCGATATTCCATCATCATATCGAACGCCGTTTTGATTTCGCCTTGCTTGTGCTCTCGTGAAGGTTCCCACTGGCAGTTTCATTCCTGCAAGTCATGGTAATGAAGTCTTTGTATCTTTTCTCGATCTCCTGGCCTATCAAGGAATCTAGCGGACACTGTTGCTGTTTTGTTGTCAGTTGAGATCATCAACCTGAGCCGTTTGCATAGGCAGACCGCATTTGGTTTGTAATGTCCGCTATATCAGCAGCTTTTCAACACTTGTGCTATAATGCACCGATTATTGAATCGATAAAGGAAGCGTTCCTCCCGAAAGCAGATCTGCCATCAATTTATTCCTGTGTTGCATGCTGACTTCCCGGTCGACAACTGCCGCGTTTCGGCTCCTACACGAGAACCTCACGGAATGGAGTAAATGGTTGTGATGAAACAGTTTTTATAAGAGGGCCAATTTCCTGTTCTCAACCTCCAAATCTACTGAGGTCACTTATGCCGGAATAGAACAAAGTCATACTCCTAACGTGGTTCAGTCAACTAACCCTCATCCTGCGTCGAAGCGAAACCTGCTGTACGCAGTTCATCCATCGTTCCTACTCCTTCGTTAGAACATGTCTCTACAAGGTATTACACCACTGACAGAAGCAGGGTACAGGCGGATTTTCTTGAGAAGATTAACTGTCTTTTCAGCCTAAACACTGGACAGATTTTTTTAAAGCACTAGATAATAAGGTGATCCGCTTCTTTAATTCTTGCTCGATGATGCCATCGCTGGAGATAATGGAACCTAGCTAATTAAACTGGTCAACTACCCGAAGGGCTTCATCTCCAGGTTTCACTTGTTCCACTTTCACGTGATCCTACATAACTTTTGATTTCCTGTAGTTATGAACAGGCCGGCTTTCAACACTACGTTTCAAATGGAAGCCGTCCGCAGGCAGAGACCAGGTCCCGTACTACTAACGAAGACAACATTACCAGCGTACTCGAAGTCAGCAAGATATCTAGGTGGATATCTTGAAGGCGCGCTTTCCCTCTAGAATGAGAAGAAAACCGATAACAATGTTGCATACTAAAGACGAAAGCTCATCTCCCTGGCGAATGTCGCAGTTAACAGGGAACCATTCAGAAAGCTATCCTTCGACTCTGACAGCACACATGGTTCCCGCATACATCTCTTGCAGAAGAGAAACGATGTTCTCAGATATCCCTAGCATTTCAAAAATTTTCGACATCGTTGGACGATGTAGTGAATGAAATGCAGCCTTAAAGTCGAAGAATCTGACAAACCAAGGCAACCGGAATCGTCAGGATTCTTCAATAATCAACAGAGAGATAAAATTTGGTGGAGGCAGGAGCGCCACCTCCGAAAGCCTGCTTGATTTCGGCGAACTCCCACATCAGTTGCCTGCCTCAAACTTTCAGGATGATCCACGAGAAAATTTCTTCGAGAGACAGTCGTGTGATATCACAATGATTAAAAAACTCGATCGCCTTAGACGGTTTAAATATAAGGACAATTGCTTCACTTCTCGATTCTCCTGTGAAACGTTTGTAAGTCAACATTTGATGAAACAGGAAATGGAGTTTTTCTACCATTCCATTCCTTCATCCTTAATTACCTCCGCAGTAATTTAATCTACTCCGCAAGCCTTGTTTATGTAGAGATGTAGCAAGCACTTTTAGATTTCTAGTCTTGTGTACAAACCTCCAGTGTTGGCAGAAAATTGATGGTCAGAAATGACAGTCGAATCCGGATGGCAGCCGCACTGCAAATGCTCAGTGCATCTTTTGTGGCGCTTCTTCTGACCTGCCGGTGAGACACCCTTTGTGCCCTGGATTATGATACATCGAGTGCCTTG